ACATGCCGTCGCCTATCAGAGTCTCTTCGGTGATGTGTAAGCCTTAACATGATCTTATTCGATCCATATTAACTACCAACTGAATCCAGGACGCGTGTTTCGTCTCGTTTTGGAGTTTCCAGGTACATATACCTTCATCCCCAATGAATGTCATTGTTCTCACTGAAACTCAATGGGTACTGTGTTCGAGTCGCATTGGGAACAGCATCAACCACTGGGGATGTCACTCAGTCTGGCTGATTAGTCCAAAATATGGTGCAGCACATTCCTCTGCTCCCACTGTTATAGGCACAATTAACCAGGCAACACAACACAAAAATCTTACATAATCACTGATTTTATGTATTATTATAAGCAACACTTATCTATCTGTTAGGTTGCTATGAATTGTAATCATTAAAGGTTAATTGAGAATGTGATTGTTATTGTTATTATTATTGTTGTTATTCCTAGTAGGGCATTGTGTCTAATTTCAAGTCTACAATGTACTAGTTCTCGCCTGTTTCCCTTGTTTTGTGTTTTAATTCTTTTAATCCTTATTGATTTATTGATTGGATGGTATTTGTTATTGAAATGGCGATGTAATCTAATTACTCCACTTTTGCATAATTATATTGCCTGTATCTAGATCAGCAGGTGTGAATCTTTGACTTAAGTGTGTTACAAGCCGACTACGCATATGGTGCGGATTCGATTCCTGGCCAACGCACTCCTAATCCTCAGCTAGCCGCTGGTTATGCGTGAGGCTGGTAGTGGCACCCCTATCAAAATCACCTCTATTGAAACTCCTCAGTTTAAGCTTGAAGCCCCATATTTTACTCATAACTCGAAGGAATGAAAAGATGTGTCAACAGATATAGCTTCTTGGAGTAAGCATTCAATTTACGGTCAGTGGGTCCAGGGTTCGAATCCTGCCCCAAGCTATCTCAGCATATGGACACCCAGGTTGCATAATTCATCATTACACAATAGAGATGAGGCTTATAGCAGGAAGCATGAAATATGTATTCCGTGTAATTTTCTTCTTACTAAGAGAATAGACGATTATTGTTTTTTTTTCATTGCTTTTGCGCATCAGGAGGAATATTGATCTTCAAGCTTGAGTCTTCATGTTTCAAAAGCGGTACTGTACGTTTTGCGAGGTGTGACTGCTAGCCCCACTCTTATGCTTCCCTTTTTAAGGGGTTTGCGTCAGTCGGAAACAGAACCCTGGACTGCTCGTATGTTCCCTTAGCACATCATTTAGCTGCGTAACCTCTGTAATATATATCATTACTTGTGCATATGTGTATGTGAAGTTGATCAAGAAAAAATTACCTTTGAGTATCATTCACATTATTAAAATACTTCGGAAGAGTAATGATGAATCAACGTATAACTAGGGGGAGTATGTAGTGTAGTGAGTTTTGATGATATTAGATAGTTGGAGGCAATCGGCCACAGGAAGCCTTGGACCTAGGTTTCGTTCTAGTTGACACTTGTCAGTAAGGTGTATCTGCAACCTAGTTACTAGTGTCCAGTCAGGGTATCCGGTACAGTCCTACAGGAGGTCAATCGCGAGCCAGCCCGAATAGCTCAGTGGTAGAGTCTCTGACTGCTGCACTGGGTGACGCGGGTTCGAATCTCAGAAGGGACATGAATTCCTTCAAGGTTGCAGATACGCCTTGCTGACTGGTGAGTGCCAACTAGCACGAAACCTAGGTCCAAGGCTTCCTGTGGCCGATTGCCTCCAACCATCTAATATCATCAAATCAATATGCACCGTGATGGTGAGCTACCTAGAATGGTGGTCACATTGCAAACCTGACTGATAGAATTCAATCTGCACCAAAGATAGGACTAGACACATCACACTAGTTACTAGTGTCCAATCAAAGTAGTGAGTTTAGACCAGAAGTCACGTAATACGAAAAAACTGCCCTCCATAGGTTATATATATATATTCTCCGTGCTCTATCTGGCTTCTGTGTCAGTAGAACATTCAGAAAATTAGCTACTGATCCAGTCGCCTCCTCAGCAGTAAGGTTATTGAATGTGTGACAGTTATCAACGTTCTGTGGGACATTATTTAGATTACATTTATTATTATAAATGTTAAAAGCTGAGCCAGACAAGAGATCTGATTAATTTCCATATTTATTTTATCGTTATTAATGTTCCTTTGGGTTGCAAGTGGGACATAAGGCTTCAGTAATACATTTCCACTTTTTCTTATTCACTACGGTCCTCCCTAGCTGGGCTCACGATTGCCCATAGTCACTGATCTCCTCCTTCTATGACCTCCTCCATGTCATCCTTGGCCACACGCCCCACTAATTGTCTTCCATTCGGGTTCCACTCAAGCGATGACCTGGCATGCAATGTCATCCAATGGTCTCCTCAGCTTGTGTCCAATCCATCTCATTTTTTTGTTGAGCCTAAGGCTCTTGGTTGATATGTTCCCACATACAGCAATACAGTCGATAAATAACTGAATTACCTTTCGAACAGAAGTTATCAAGTCATGTGAATACATTGATATGATTTTGAGCAATAAATTGTACTCGAAATATCATTCTTTGTGTTCCGAGTGGAAAGGTGTGCCCCAGTATCACAACTTCAGTGAACTTAATTTTTGGTTGTCACTTTCACATTTTTCCATGACTGCCCTACTAGTCCTTATTCCCTCCAAACATTAACTCTTGCCTGGAATACTAGAACTCCTAACCGGATACGATAATCATTTTTCATTATTATTATTTTTGTTGTTTCCTTTAGTTCCTAGGGGAACATAGGCCTTCAGCCGTGCGTCTCCATTGCGTCCAGTTCTCCGCCAGCATTTTCATCTGGCTCCACGTCTCCCGACATGCTTTCATCTCCTCTTCACATCACCTCCTGCTCCATGTCACCCTCGCACTGACAACAAACTCGCCGCGATGGACTCATGTGTGATGTCACTCACTTGATGGCTTGTTTTCTCAGAGTATGGGCAATCCACCTCCATCTCCTGCTGGGTTGGTTTACTCCCAACGATTCCTCACTATTCCTGGTCTTTTCTGGTCGGCCATCTGATCTTGAGTAGTGTTGAGCAAAGGCAGCTGTTGATGAAGGTGTGTAGCTTGTTCGAAGTGGCCTTCGTGACGCAGCGCCAAGTCTCTGATCCGTATTAGTAGCACTGACTTCATAGTGGAGTTTAAAATCCTCATCTTATTTTCATTTTCATGTTGAATGCTGTTGATCTCCACACAGATATGAGAGTAGTGAAGGCTTGCCTCGCTTTCCCAATCCTCATTTTTATATCCTCATCATTTCCGTCTGGCGTAGTTGAAACGATGCTTCCCAAGTGGGTAGAGGAGGTTGCTTCATTCAGATTTCTCCCATTCATGCTGATTGTTGTCTGTTGTCTGTTGCTTTTGGCCAGGAATCTTCATCACCTCTGTTTTCTCTGTGTTCACCTGAAGTCGTATCTTCTCTGGATGCTTCTTCTGCCAACTTGTTGTTTTTCACTTGCATATCTTCCAGTTTTTGAGAAATCAGACATATATGTCATCGGCGAAGTCTAGATCCTCCATGGCTTTTATGTGGGTCCATTTGATGCCTGTTTCCTCCCTGCCTGCTCTCTGTCGCATTATCCAGTCTACCGCAATCAGGGAAATCACTGAAGGTAGTAGGCAGCCAGCTTGTGTTACTCCGTCTTCACTTCTTCGAAGGATTCCATGAGTTTCCTGTTGTGGATTACTCGGCATGCAGCATTGTCGTACAACTGTTGGATCAGGTGTATAATTGTTGGTGGCAACCCGTAGTAGCGAAGTAGTTGCCAAATCACCTCTCGATCGACGCTGTCTGCTGAAGGCTTTTTCAAAGTCAATGAAGTTGAGATAGAGAGAGGTGACTGACAAATACCGGGCCCTATGATGAAATCATTCATCATAGAGCCCAGTATTTGATATTCTTTAATTTTACCTCAATCCATCTACATTTCCAATTCTTTTATATTTGCTGAGCAATAACTTATTGCTTGACACGCTGTCATAAAGTTCGTTGTTTGTTGCCGTTTCCAGTCGTTCATTTGATCTTCAATCTTGAAGCAAAGGCAGCTATTGATGCCATCATTACTGAAACGGCCAATAATCTTAACACTGTCTAAGCCATAGACTTTAGTTAGAGATGGAGCTTGAATAAACCATGTCACATACAACAATGAATTCATCAGACTGACAGGTTATCTATCCACCTATCGATCTGTCTAGACATATTTTAAATTGACATCAGTAAGCTACTAATGGGTGGTCTAATCAATTTTGTATTTGAATATGTCTTTTTCGCGCACATATTTGACGGCGGGCTTTTTAACCAGCTAACGCAACTCATCTCTACACAAATGTCTATCAGTACACGCACACACACACAACATTCTTGCCCATTTCTCAATAATTATTTCATGTCTGTGTACTTAAGATTCCCTGTATTTCTCATAAATAATTCATAATGATGCCTTATACGAATGTTCAATCTCTCAAATATCAGACAGTAGAAAAACGAGGGGGTTTGTTTTAGTAGAATGACTCAACTAGCTTTTTTGTGACCTTCATCACATGACTTTGAATTGTACTCACTTCTGGTCTTTCTAAAAATGGGAGAATAACATTTGGTTATATAGTTAGTGAGATTTAAAATTAATCTTAGGAAAATCAATAATCTAGAGAAAGTCTAAAATCTCTTAGCTAATTAAACTGATTGGATAATTAAGATTAGCCAATTGTCAATCCCGTTGACATTGGTTACACCTTCTAATTAATGACTTTGTTTTGTTTCTTTTTTTGAAAATTTATGTTATTTTTAATAAGTTAATTATTATTATTGCTACTAGGAATATATTTCACAAACTCTAACTGAATTCATGTTATTTATTTTCCTTTTATTTTCTATATTTTGATTCTGTCAATTTTAAACATGCCGGTGACAATGTCCGCTCAATGTTCAATATTCATTTAAACAAAAATAAATTCAATGTTGAATAGATGCTGCAACATGTTTAGATTATTTAAAGCGTAGAGAAGTATTTCTATACAAAATGATGAATGATCCAAGTCATAAAGCAATGTTATACTTTCTTGAAGTGTTAATGAACTCTGATAGTCCGATAACAGTTGATCAGTTGGCAGCACGTTTTTCGCATAAATCATTCAGTCTGGAAATGCGTGAAGCATGCGGTGGTGGAAGTGCTGAAGGTTTAAGAGAATTTCTTGAACGTTATCCATCTTTATTCAATGTAAAACCGAATGGACAAGTGACATCCGTTGCTATTGAATTACCCGGCTTAGATTCAAATTTTGACAGTTTGTCTGATCAAGAAAGTTGTTCGCTAAAAGAAAATGGTCAAAAATCGATGAGTGATAATCTCTCGGATATTTCTACATCATTTCGAAATCTAACACCTGCTGTAAATTCTGCTTATTCGTCTAAAACCTGTCCACCGAGTAATAATTTACAGAAAGAAAATGCTTATAATCGTTTTCAGCCGTATAGAAAATTGAATTCTGCCAGCACAGATACCTCCAGTCATCAAAATTCTACGAATAACACGACAAGCAGGTTGAATAGTACAAGTTCACTGTCATTGGTATCATCACAGTCGGGAAGTCCATTGAATACACCGTCTAACGATCATATATTTGGACGTAAAAAGCCTTCCAACAATTTCGTTAATAATAATAACAATAACACAACGAATTCTAGTAATGGTATCAGTAATCCATCACCGCATAGCTTATCATCGGGGAATCCTCCAGCAGGAAGAACAAGACCTTCAAATATCTATACACCCCCACAATTACGCAATTTAGACCACTCATCACAGTTGATATTACCATCGAATTGTGAATTGTGCTCATCAAATCCTGCTGCTGCCGCCAATACTCCTGCTTCTACCAATCGTAACAGCAGTAATCACCCAACGAATCATCATGAGATCACTACAGTATCAAGTGGAACGTGTATACACTGTCCACTACTAGAATTGGCTTGTCATCACACGCATCACTGTACTACAGCTCACCATCACACTTCTACCCACTGCCATTGTACACCCACCGCTTTAACTCCCACAGCATCCTCTTTTCATCACTATCATCACCCTCTTCATCATATACCAACACAAACATCATTAAGATCCCCTCCTGTACTTTTATCAAACTTTTATACTTTACCGCCTATGGAGAAATTATTCCTCGAAAGTGAAGCAGTTCACTTTTTCCAACAGAAGTTAATTAAACGTGAAGAACGCTGGGTCCCAATAAAAAGTCTAGCTGGTCATCTGTCTCAAGCCACACCTGAAGTACGTGCTATTGTCGGTCCACAATTAGAATTTCGACGTTTCCTTCTAAAACATCCACATGTTTTTGAAGTACAAGGTGAACTGGTCAGTGTCAAGGATCCATTTCTTACTGCTGGACTTGGTGGACTTGCATTGAAACGATCACGTGACCGATTGTCAGCTGTACATGCAAGTCATTCATCGACAAATATATCGAATTCACCAGCTTATGTATCAAGGAATATGTCTTATGAGAAGAATCCACGACCGAAATCACTAATATTGCCTAATATGATGACCTATGGACATTTAGCTGATGTTAATAATTCCTATCTACCCTCCTCGATTCAGCGTTCAACTAACAACAGTAATCATTATCGTCGATCAGCTCATTTCGCTGTTGACAACAGTTCAACAACTACTCCGCCAGCTAGATCGTTAATACAGTCAGACAATATAAATTCAGCGCCAACAACGCCTACCACTGCAAATCTTGCATTCACAGACAGTAATCACAGTCAAGTAGATAAGATGGCTAACGAAAAATCATCCAGTAACCCTGTTCCACGTCTTCATCCTCATCATCATAATGGTGTTACATCATCTACAGTGACAACAGAATACGACACCTCTGTAATGACCAACTCACTGCCAAGTACTACAGTCAATAGTTTAAGTTTAACTATGACTGCAAATGAATATCGAGCGATTATGTTCTTACGTAAGGTACTGGAGAAACAAGGAGGTGCAGTAGGACAGTCAGGACTAAGCCTTCATAACCTGATGCAATTTCTGTCAACTAAAGCGCCTGAAGCTGTTCAGACAACAATTGGTTGGACGAAAATTGAGCTGGAAGAATTTTTAGGTCAACATAATTTATTTTTTGAATTGAAACCAGTTAAGGCAGGTGACGATGAAAAGACATCCGTTGTTGACAGCGCCAACAACGAGAAACAGAAACAGACAGTGAACAGCGTGAAAATTGAGGATAATATTGCAGTGTGCAATAGACGGCTAAATCGTATGATTAATATTATTATTACAGCATCAAAATCAAGTGATGCTAATGGTGTTCGAACGCTGACAAATCGTTGTGGAAGAATATTTCATGTTGCTAAATTATGGGGAATTATTGATTTAGGCAAACATGAACATGTATTCTTTGATAAATCAATATTTCGTCATGTGGATGATTTACAAAAACATTTCAAGGTGAGTAAACTATGAGTTTATGATTGGTTTTTGCATATGACCTTGATATGATCGTATATGATTGGTTGAAGTGACTAGCTAATTAACCAATTAGTTTGAATCTACTCTAGATGTTTTATTCGCGGTGATCAAGTGGCTGGAATAACTCGTCAGTCATGTATCTGACTTTAGAAGAAAGTAAAGTGTATTCGATCTCCTGAAGGAACTAGAGTTGCGTGAACTTCAGATGTACACTTTTTCTGATGAATGTTAGTATGTTCGATAGTTGAAGGCAGTTGGCAGAAAGTCCTTGAACTAGATTTTGAGTTTGTTGGCACTCGTCAGAGAGGCGTATCTGCCATCTTGCAGAGACACTGATTAAGCGCCAAAGGGTAACCAATGTCATGAGTCTAGTTCTTGGTGCTGGTGCACACAGAATCAAGATCATCCAGGGACGCCTACAGTAGTTGATTTCAATTGGTCATCAATGTGAACAGACCAGTCTACACAATCTATATCAATTAAGAACTCTGACAGTCGCTATAATCTTGCTTTTCACATAGTCCAATAAGAAGTAAGCACGTTTACTAGTGGGAAAATAGAACTGTTTGATGACTAATTTCCGTATCTGTCGTGATTAGATTTGGGCTAAAATTCATCAGTGAAAAGTCTAGGAACCCTGTTTTTATTCTTCTTTTGATGATTTTTCTTCTTCGTGTTAGTTGCCATCAAACCTCTGACTAATAATCAGTGTGCTAATTATGCCATACTCTACTTTATTGCCAAACTATTGATAAGCGACATGTCTCTGTTGAACAAAAGAGTATTTGCACTGTGTATTGTGAAGCCTTAGGCATATAATATAATCGAAGATGTATAACACGATGTACAGTTAAGTCCATGAAAAGCACACATCAGTCGTTTGACTACTGAGCTGTCAATAATTATACAAAACTGAGGGATTTTAGTTTAGGTTAAGACAATAAAAGAAGTGATTTGATAGATGGTGACTATTAGTGGATGTGCATTTCGTCCTATTTTTCGACTCTTCAACAGGATGTAGCTGTATTCCTTGGTGAGTGATAGTTTTCCCACACTGAGAATTGAACCCTGCACCTATCACTTCAAACTTCAAAGAATTGTTCTAGTCACCTAGTGGATACTGCTTTAACGATGGATTCGAGCCTCAGGAGGAGTAACAACACTCACTAAGGAATGCGGCTACATCCAGTGACGAGTTCCTAAAAGGGACGAAACATGAATACTAGATTCCACTGCTAGTCAACATCTCCCAAATCACCTCAATTTATTCTTCAAGTATCAGCAAAGAGTGCCCACTAGGCGCTGACATGTTAACAGAGGCCAAATATTTCAGTTCAGCTAGTCAATGGGGAAATTAAAACTGACTCAAAAAACCAGAAAACAGTTTAATTGGACACTCTTTGGTGATGATGATCAGTGGCACACTTAAAGTGAATACCGATTTGGTTTGATTACTTAGAAATCTAAACAAAGTACTGACAATAACAACATTATTAGTATATTACTATTCTCTTCGGTTCCTAGTGGGATATAGGGCTTCAACAGTACATCTACACTTCCTTCTGTCCTCTTCAGCTGGGCCCGCGAATGAACTTAATCTCTCATGTACTCCATGTTACCCTCGCACCAACGACTCACTCGCGACCGCTTTCATTAGGAATCCACTCGAATGATGGCCTTCATTGAGGACGATAACATTCGATGGCCTCCTCAATGAATGCCCGGTCAATCCACCACCACTTACTTCTACATATTCGCTGAGCAATCAGCTACTGACTGGTTTTTTCTCAGCCAAAGTTTCTTGTTGCTAATTCTTTCTGGCCAGCGAAGGGGGCAGCTGTTCATAAATGTCAGTTTCTGAATTTTATAGAAAAACTGACTGACTTCACATTGGTGTTGAGAATTCGAATCTTGTTATCTACCTTGTGTCAGTTCAGACGATTTACAAAATAACTCAAGATTGATGAAGGCGTATCCTGACTGGTTTTTCAGGCTTCATCCGTGCTGTTGCCTGAAGTTGAAACAAAGCTTCCTAGATAAGTGGAGGAAATCCTTTTCGTGATACGCCGGCGAAGCTTCTCACTCGTATAGAAGGACCGATTTGACATTGGTGTTGACTAGAATTCAAATCTATAGATGTGCATTTCTTCCCATTTGTGATCCATCATGTGGATGTACACTGGTTCTCCTATGAGTGATGGTGTTCCCCCGCTAAGACTTGAACCTGGCACCCATTACTTCAAACTTCAAAGCATTATTCTAGTCCCTTAGTGGATACTGCTCTGATGATGGGTCTCAGCCTCAGTGAGAATACCATTACTCACTGAGGAATGTAAGTACATCCAGTGACGAGTCCTCAAAAGGGACGAAACCTGTGTAGTAGATTCCACCTCCTAGATCACTTCAATTTATTCTTTAATTATCATCGAAGCGTGCATACTAGGAGTTGACATACTAACAGTGTCCGAAGATTTCAGTTCAATCAGTAGACAGGAATATCAAAATTGACTCAAAAAAAACTAGAAAACATTTTAATTGGTCACTGTTTGGTGATAATGATACATCAGTGGTACACTTAATGTGAATATTGATTGATGTGAGTACTTACAATCTTCAACAAAGCAGTAGCATTAACAACAATATATTATTATTCCTTTGGGTTTCGAGGGAAACATAGGTCTTCAACAACACATCTCCCCTTCGTTCTGTATTTCTCTGTTCTCCTCTTTAGCTGGCTGGTCTTCTCACGATTGCCCAAAATCTCTCATCTCCCCATCCTCTCCCTCAAAATATCTCCTTCATGTCACACTCGCACCGATGACCCACTTGTCGCCGCTTCCCATTTGGATTCCAATCGAGCGATGGCCCACACTGGGCGCAGTGCCATTCGACGACCTCTTCAATGTATGCCTGATCAATCCATCTCCTCTTTTTCTCACATATTCTTTGAGCAATTGGCTCTTGTTTGGTTTGTTCCACTGCAGAGTGTCTTGCTTTTAATTCCTTCTGGACGGCCAACCGATATTCAGTATGGAGCCAAAGAATGTGGCAGCTGTCGACAAATGACAGTTTCTGGCCCGTATAGGAGAACTGACTGACTGACTTCACATTTGTGTTGAAAATCCAAATGAGTCTTGTTCTTTATGTTCAACCAGTGTCAGAGATTTTTAAAATGGTTTCAGATTGATGAAGATGCATCTTGCTGTGCCGTTTCTGTCTTTGACATCTTCATCTGTTCCTCTGGCCAGTGGATGAAACATTGCTTCCTGGCCAGATAAATGAAGGAAGCAAGCTCTTTCAAATCCCTCATGTTGATGGTGATTGGTGTTGTTTGCTGTTTTTGTTGGTTTGTTATCTTCATCACCTTCTTCTCCATGTTCACCTGCAGTGCTGTTTTTGCTGCCAGCCCCTTCAGCCAGTTTTTTGCTTTCTGTCTGTAAGTCTCTGAGTTTATGTGAGTGATATTAGCCACATATCATCTGAGAAATCCAGATCTTCTAAAGTTTTCTTATGGGTGGTCCAGCGTATTCCTCTCTCCTAGCTCCTCACAATAACCACATGTACGGTCCATTTTATTTCATCAGTTTGTCTCTCCTAAACTCTACAGAACCAAATTAATGAAAGTTAACAGTTTTTTTACTACAATTTTAACACACTTTGCTTCCTTAGAGAGAGAGAGAGAAATGCTGAAAAATAATTAAAAATGGTAATGGTAACGAATTAGTTGTGTTCTCTGAGGAGCTGGTTGATTTAATTGCGAAGCTTTCGTAGTCCTCCCTCTTCTAGACAACATCCCCCTTTAAGCCAGCACAGGTTTTACTGTAAAATGAACTCATTTAAATTCTCCATGAATGATATAATTGTATTTCCTAGCAACCACTGTCGTATCTGGTTGTGAATCATATTTTGTCATATTTTCATGACATGGAATTTGAACCTTCTTGTCACATGTGATTTAATTTTTACTAGTTGGTAAATTTGATCTATAATAATGTGTGTTTGTTAACTGCTAATTTATTTGAGTACCAACCAGGCTTCTAGGAATTCCCTGACTGCATTTTTGGTGTTTCCTTTATTTAAAATTTCCACATTATCCCAGTTATCAAATTGGTGTCCATAATTATCTGCATGCATTGATATGAAATAGGAATATATATCATGTCTTCTCACAGCTAATTTGTATTCTTGGATTCTGATTCGAAGGGGACGATTAAATGTCTGTTACAGTTCATACAATTTATTTTTAAATGGTATTGGTTTTTATCTCCTTCTTCTCTTGGATTTTTCGGTTTACACATTATCGAATGAAGTGATTGTGCTGACTAGCTTGTGTGTTATATCTATTTCAAAGAGTTGCACTATTCTACCTGTTTTTTCAGAGATATTTCTTTTACATATGGTAGGATGAATTTTTCTGTGGTTTCTTTGGTGTAGTCTTCTTGTTGGTGTTATGACTCGAGCTTGAACACTCTTTGATGAAATTGGGTTTTGGTTATCCATTCCTTTTGAAGACAGTAAGTAGGTATTTTTCCTCCACTCTCTTTAACATTGGAATGCTACAGTATGTCTGAAATCTTTTTAAACACACTCTTCACACAGTTTCTTTTGTGGGTAATTGGGTTCGGTGATTACTGCTATAGTTGAGTATTCGCTCTATCTGTGTGCGTTGATTTTCTATATACTTGTGTTTCTAAATTTCATGTGTTGTCCCTCTTGATTATGACATCTAAGAATGGAATTTTGTTGTCGTCTAATTCTTCTTCTCGCTTGATGAATTTAATGTCTTCAAATATGTTGTTTGTTAATTTGTAGGTATACTTGAAATAATTTCTTTTGACTATTACAAATGTATCAACAACACAACGAATCTAAATTCTCGGTTTATTTCTGGGTGTAGGGCTATTAATTCTAATCTTTGTGTAGAAACTTCAACTATGAGTCCTGATATGGGCGATCCCATCCACCCTGAGCTACCAATC